CGACTGGACAGGCTGTGGACACAGTAACGGAGGAGAAGGACCAGTAGAAGGCGGGAGACCAAGAACCTGCTGAAGGAGGGGAACGAAGTACGGCCGCTGCCGTGCAGCGCCTCCTGAACCAGCAGAGACAGCACCAGTACCCCCAGCGCAAGGGTCTCCAGCTCCAACTCCCTCATCACCACCAGCTTCAGCACCAGTAGCACCTCCAGCAGCAACAGCTCCAACTCCTGCAGCACCACCAGCTCCAGCAGCTTCAGTACCTCCAGTACGAGCACCTCCGGGACCAGCGGCTCCAACACCTCCAACAGCTCCAGCACCAGCGGTACATCCAGCAGCTCCAGCTCCAGCAGCTCCAGTACCTCCAGTACGAGCACCTCCGGGACCAGCGACTCCAGCACCTCCAGCAGCTCCAGCGCCAGCAGTACCTCCAGCAGCTCCAGCTCCAGTAGCACCTCCAGCGGTAGGCCACCCAGCTCTAGCAGCATGGCTACAGCGCCGAGCGTACCACTCGCGCAGCTGCTGTGGAGAGAGGGGCTCCCACCGTGACAAGACACCCGGAGGACCTCCAGACACAGTACGCTCAGGCTCAGCACCCCCAGGCTCAGCACGCTCAGGCTCAGCACCCCCAGACTCAGCACCCCCAGTCTCAGCACCCCCAGGCTCCGCACGCTCAGGCTCGGCACCCCCAGGCTCCGCACCCTCAGACTCAGCAACCCCAGGCTCAGCACCCCCAGGCCCCGCACCCGCAGGCTCAGTACCCCTAGCAGCACCAGAGTCGACAGCTACCTCGACAGGCTCGACAGGGTCTACTTGGGACACACCTGAGGGGGCAGGACCCTGAGGGGGGAGGGGGTCTACCGGAGGAGCACCTGGTGCTAGGAAGAGCGGCGGGGGAGGGGAAAGGGGCAGTGCGGTAGGGAAAGAGACGGTAGTAAGATACCGACTCTTCAAACGTGACGTCCTGAGAGGACAGAACACGACGCGAGGTGGGGTGGTAAAACTGCCACCCAGGCGCGTCAGGGGGGAAGCCAAGGAAGACGCAGGGAACAGCACGGGAGGACAGCTTGTCCGCGGAAGAATCGCGGACAAAAGCTCGAGATCCCCAGACACGGAACACAGTCGCATCGCCAACCTTCCCCGTCCACCGCAGAGTAGGTGTGGTCTTCGGAAAGGAGACACGAGGCTGAAGGTTGATCTGATGCGCAGCGTACTGAACCGCGAACGGCTACAGAAAATGGGGAGCAGCCGCATGGATCATGGACGTACGAGCGACATCCATGACCATGCCAATGCGGCGCTCAGCAATCCCATTTTGCTGTGGGGAGGCCGGAAGCGTGAACGTCTGGCGGATGCCCTCCGCACGACAGAAAGCCCTCAGAAGGTCGGAGGAAAACTCACCACCTCTGTCTGAGTGCAGACGCAGAACAGGAAGGTCCGAGCCGAAACTCTCGCTGAGCTGGCGACGGGCAGTGCGGATCCAGTCGATCAACACCTCAATGACCTCACCCTTGCGGCGCAAGGGGAAGACTGTGTTGTAACGCGAGTAGTCGTCAACAACCAGCAGGAAGTAACGCTCGTGACCCTGTCCACGGACGCGGTTTGGGCCCCACACGTCCATGTGGAGAGTCTGCAGGGGAGCCTCTGTCGGAGGAAACTCGGAGGAGTGAGGAGCGGCGCGCTGCCGGCCCTCGATGCAAGGAACGCAGGTAGGGGCAGGCCCCGGAGGAAGGGGAGGGAGGGACCGGGGGAGACCAGAGATAAGGGTACGGGAGGCCATACCTCGAAGACGAGGCAGGGAGGGGTGACCAAGGCGGTGGTGCCAAAGGAGAGTCTCGTGTGACAGAGGGCGACACGAGCAGGGGGCAGACGCCGCACTAGACCTGGACGTGGCAGCAAACACCTGACCAGACGCGGCTACCTGACCAGGCGCAGTAACCGGAGGAGAAGCAGTAGTCAGTGTGTACAGGCTCGACCCAGGCCGACGGGTGAACGAGGCCAGGTGGCGGCCCGTCCGAGAGCAAGTGCAGTGTGTCACACGCTGAACTTCAGGGGTGAACTGGTCAACCCACACGTCCTGGAGGTCAGCTCCACTCACCAAGTTCGTAGAGAACGAGGGGAGGTGGAGTCCCGACAGTAAGCCCGACGGGGCCGCAGGACACGGTAGAACCGTGGAGGAGTGCGCAAGGACTGGGCCCCCAGAGGGGTCAGCCAGGGAGACTGCAACTGGCCGACTGAGCGGCGTCAGTGTGGTGCTGTCGCGAAAGAAGGAGCGCGAAGCACCTGAGTCAAGTGTGAAGGTATGCAAGGCCTCAGTAGGTGCAGTACCAGAGAGAGCAGACTCACCAGCACCTGGAGCAACAGACTCACTAGCACCTGGAGCAGCAGACTCACTAGCACCTGGAGCAGCAGACTCACTAGCACCTAGAGCAGCAGCCTCAATGCCCGGGTCGGGCGGAACACACAGGTAACAGTCACCCTCAGCACTATCAGTCACAGCATACATGGCAGCAAGGATAGCATCGAAATCAAGATCAAAGATAGCAACATTCTGCTTAAGCAGATCACCCCAGCGAGGGAGCTCAGCGCCGTCAGGAAACTGGGCGCGCCAAGCGTCAGTCAGGCGACCGAAGCAGCGCTGCGAAGTGTGGGGCAGTCCGCACGTCTCCCCACGGCGCCCGCCGGTGCGAAGAACGTAAGTACAGGGACCAGCACCCACAGACCTCCCACGCCCAGCGTACCACTCACGAAGCTGCTGGGGCGACAGGGTCTCACGGGAACGCAGCTGCTGCTGGCGCTGGCTACCGCCAAAGCCTCCACGCTGCGCGGCTCCACCTCGACCAGCACCACCGCCGCCGCCACCTCCACCACCGCTGCCGCTGCCTCCACCGCCGCTGCCGCTGCCTCCACCGCCGCTGCCGCTGCCTCCACCGCCGCTGCCGCTGCCTCCACCACCTCCACCGACGCCCCCACTCCCGCCACCACCCCCACCTCCACCGCCACCCCCCTCCGCCTCCTCCACCGCCTCCACCGCCGCCCTCACCGTCCCCTCCACCACCCTTGCCCCCCTTGCCCTTGCCACTAGGGGCAGACGCAGCCCCGACCTCCTCAGTGCCAGCGAGGTCGACAGCAGCAGCAGAAGCAACAGAGGGGAGAAGGGGGACGGGGGAACACCCCTCAAAGAAAGGGGCGCGAGGGTCGCCGCGAGAAGCACCTACAGCAACGATACTCTTCTCAGCTGCAGTGAGGCGCTCCTCTAGCAGGTCGACGGTGAGCTCGGTGGGGCAAAGGGAGAGAAAGTGGTCCCTGACTGAAGAAAGGGAGTCAGGGAGACGGGTGACTAGGTAGTAGAGGGTGATGTACATAGGGGGGGGGTTCTTGGCACAGAACTCAGTGGGAAGCGCAGCGCGATAGCAGGCATCACTAGTGTGGAGGTGAGTAATGAGGTCAGCGACTGTGGCAAAGGCGGCTAGGTTAGGGAACAGGTACGGCAGCATGAGGCGGCTGAGGGCAGCAGTGGCAGGGGAGGAGTAGCGCGCTACTACAGCGTCGTACAAAGACTGAGCAGTCTTGTACTGGCCAAAGTGCGCGCGCTCAGCAAACGGCAGGTGACGAACAGCAAGGCGAGCAACAGCGTCACGAGTAGTCCACTGCGAACGAACCGTACTGTCTGCAGTGGCAGCAGGTGCAGGAAAGACACCGGACGTGTGATCGAAAAGAGAGACTCCGTCCTTAGAGTCGCACTGAAGAAAGAGCTGTAGGTCATCTACCCAAACGTCGAAGTCAACCGCACGACCCTCAGCATCAAAGGTAAGAACATTGGGGATAGCCATGGCGGCAGTAGCAGCAGTAGCAGCAGAAGCAGCAGTAGCAGCAGAAGAAGCAGTAGCAGCAGGAAAATGCGCGGGCAGGGCAGTGCGGCTCAGTAGGGCGGCGCGGCTCGGTAGGGCGGCGCGGCTCGGCTGGGCGGCGCGGCTCGGCTGGGCGGCGCGGGTGCTTACCAAGGGCGGGTGCAGGGCAGGGCCGCAGCTGGCGGTTAGGTCAGGGCCGCGACTGGGGCGGCTGTAGGGCAGGGCCGCGACGAGGCGGCGGCAGAGCAGGGCCGCGACAGGGCGGCAGCAGGGCAGGGCCGCGACTGGGCCGCGGTAGAGCATGGCCGCGACGAGCGGCTGAGGGCAGGGCCGCGACGGGTGGCGGCAGGGCAGAGGCCGCGACGGGCGGCGAGGTCAGGGCCGCGACGAGGGGCGGCAGGCCAGGGCCGCGACGGGCGGCGAGGTCAGGCCGCGACGGGCGGCAAGGCAGGGCCGCGGGTGGCGGCAGGGAAGGGCCGCGACGAGGCGGCGAGGTCAGGTCCGCGACGAGGCGGCGACAGGGCAGGGCCGCGACGGGCGGCTAGGTCAGGGCCGCGACGGGCGACAGGGCAGGGCCGCGACGGGCCGAGAAGGCAGGGCCGCGACGGGCGGCACTAGGGCAGGGCGCGCGACGGCGCAGGTGAGGCAGGCACGAGGCGCGCTTCGGGCAGGGCAGGAAAAAAAAATCGTGGTGGGCCAAAAAAAAAACGTTCCCACTAGGGAAATTGCTCTGAAACCATGTCAGAAATGTGAAGGAAAGAATGATTGAATTAGCAAGCAGGTGGGTACAAGTAGGAAAACCTAAAAGTGTTGTACCCCATATTGACTACCCCACTACAGCCTACACAGACTATGTCATATAAGTTTGACAAACTTGTCAGGAGCCATGGCGGAGAGCATTGCTCTCTTGGTTTTCAGAGGCGATGGTAGAAGCAGCTACTGGGGGTGCAGGCGGCGGGATAGAGTTTTCGGAAGGCTGAAAAAGTGCCTGAAAAATGAGAAGCAGCTACTGGGGGTGCAGGCGGCGGGATATAGTTTTCGGAAGGCTGAAAAAGTGCATGAAAACTGATATAGCAAGGGAAACTGGCAGGAGCACAGAATAAGAGGAGGGGCAGGGAGCACAGAATAAGAGGAGGGGCAGGGAGCACAGAATCAGAGGTGGGGCAGGGAGCACAGAATGAGAGGAGGGGCAGGGAGCACAGAATGCGAGGAGGGGCAGGGAGCACAGAGTGAGAGGAGGGGCAGGGAGTACAGAATGAGAGGAGGGGCAGGGAGCACAAAATGAGAGGAGGGACAGGGAGCACAGAATGAGAGGAGGGGCAGGGAGCACAGAATGAGAGGAGGGGCAGGGAGCACAGAATGAGAGGAGGGGCAGGGAGCACAGAATGAGAGGAGGGGCAGGGAGCACAGAATGAGAGGAGGGGCAGGGAGCACAGAATGAGAGGAGGGGCAGGGAGCACAGAATGAGAGGAGGGGCAGGGAGCACAGAATGAGAGGAGGGGCAGGGAGCACAGCAGGCGAGGACACAAAGGGAGCGGAGGGTAGTGCAGCAGGGATTTGGAGCCACCTGAGGGCCCAAGATAGAACCTGAGTGGCACGAAGGGGGGAGGCTGTGTCAGGGGGGCAGGAGAGGGGCAGGGGAGGGGCAGGGGAGGGGCAGGAGAGGGACAGGGGAGGGGCAGGGGAGGGGCAGGGGAGGGGCAGGAGAGGGACAGGGGAGGGGCAGGGGAGGGGCAGCATGATAGCAGGGTGGAAAAGGGGGTTTAAGGATGAGGCGACCAGGGTGAGCTGCTACTTGCGGAGGGGATCCCACGGCCTGGGCGTCGGCTGCAGGGATGAAGGATGGGGCGATTGAGGGGGAACCTACACACATCCCAACAGGAGGGGGGGCAACAAGCGAAGATTTAGTCGTGGCGTTCGAGAGGACGGTGGTTGTGAGAACCATGACCAAGGCGGTCCAAGGGGGCTGACTAGGAGCCTGAGGGGCTTCCCGAGTCACGAGGCCATGTGCAAACGGTGGCAAGAGAGAGGATGTGAACGTCGAGGCGTTGGCCACATCTATTTACGAAATTGGACTGAGCCTGAGTGGCAACCCGAGTCCGAAGGCAATGCGCAAAGGCAGGGGCGGCGGGGCGAGATGGGATAAAAGCGCATTAGAGCAAAAACCGGGGAAGACAGAAGTTAGGCCCTGTTCGGCAGGCGTTAAAAGCTCAGGCTCGGGGACCGGCTACAGTGAAATGACCACCCTGGAACCTTCTTTTATAAGCAATTGAGAGGTTACCAAGGCTCGAGATAAGCGGGTTGAGGCCGAACCTGAGCGGTTAAAATTGCCTGCCGAACAGCCTTTTTAACGCTTGCGTTTTTAGCCGTACGATGGTTCCAGGAAACCGTTTCCCCTGGCAAAATGACGCACCAGTGATCCGCCGCATGGTGCACGGGCGAGAGCCTACACCATGCGGGGGATCAGTGATGCGGCCAATCATATGTGACTGGTCAAATATGCAGGCCAATCATATGTGACTGGTCAAATATGCAGGCCAATCATATGTGATTGGTCAAATATGCAGGCCAATCATATGTGACTGGTCAAATATGCAAGCCAATCATATGTGACTGGTCAAATATGCAGGCCAATCATATGTGACTGGTCAAATATGCAGGCCAATCATATGATTGTGCGAAGGTGCAGTGCACCTGGTATCTGACTTCTGCGAATTTCACGCCCCTTCCACGCCATCATTTTAACCCCATTAACGCCAGCCGAACAGGGCCTTAATGTGCACGAAGATTCAAAAAGAGTGAAGAAGAGCGAAGGTGTGCAATCACTCTCTTGGGTGAACGAATGAGTCATAATCATAAAAGTTTATTTATTGAAACTGAACAATACCAAACTCCTGTCTTGTCTTTGTTCGTTTCAGTTTCCACTCATGGCTGACGAAGACTATGGCGGAGGCGACGATTTCGGCGAAGATTACGGAGGGTAGGTGCAAGACGCCGGATTCGGTCTACTAAGCTCGCACAAGAACATGTTTTCTAGGGTTTAGCTCGTCTACGAAGGTGTAGGTTTTGTGGTTTCAAAACACAATAGTTAGCTAAGCCCTACCTGCTTCTGTGGAGCTGCTTATTGGATTAGCAGTTTCTTTATTTCGATTCCTTCTTCTCGCATCAGCTAGCATGAATAATCAGAACCTTATAGGCATCGTACCTTCGAGGCTTATACTCTTACGTGTCGCCATTGCTTGACTCCCTCGTTTTCGTACAAGTGCTGACGTGGGTTGACGTGGCTTGACGTAATGTGACCTGGCCGTTTTGTGTGACGTGGCAGGGACTACGAGGAACCCGAGGTGGCCGAACCAGAGGTACGTGCGGACCAATCATCGCTCGTTAGTTGCCGTTACTTCGTCTTTGCGACGTCTCAAAGCTCGTCAGTCGATTAACTGAGGGTCGCTCAGAGGGTTCGTGTCTTGCGTACGTCGAGAGGATTTGTGTTTCGTGAGTCGATTAACAAATCAAACAGACGTTCGTGCTTCCGGTCGTCGCTCTCGCCACGCTCCGTTGCCTGGCGTGCGTTTCCCGTCTGTCTATCTTGTTGTCTCTCATCGCTCCATCACTCCATCCCTTCATCGTTCCGTCCCTCTACCTTTCCATCCCTATTTCGCGCCATCCATCCCTTCATCGCTCCATCTCCTTATCGCCCCATCCGTTAGGAGGAGGCAGGGGAGGAAGGCGGTGAGGAGCAGGAAGGGGACGGCGAGCGCTACTTGATCGAGGTTGATACTCGACGAAGACGACGGAGATCACGCAGGCCCTGAGAACTTCTCACTCCCGAAAAGTCTCACCACCTTGTCTTACCACAACCCAACCCTTTTAATTAACTTCCAGGAGGAGGCAGGGGAGGAGGGCGGTGAGGAGCAGGAGGGCCCTTCGGACTTCCCACTCCCAAAACATTTTCCCACCTTGTTTGTACCGAACCCAATTTGTCTAAAAACGCTCAGGAGGAGGCAGGGGAGGAAGGCGGCGAGGAGGGGGAGGGGGATGGCGAGCGCGACTTGATCGAGATTCGCGACGACGACGGAGGTGGGAAGAAGAAATCGGACAAGCCGCGCAAGACGACAAGATACATGACAAAATACGAGCGCGCTAGAGTTCTGGGTGCACGAGCCCTGCAAATCAGGTGAGGAAAGGAATCAGGCAGGAGTCAGGAGGGAAGGGGGGAAGAAGGGACAAGCCGCGCAAGACCACCAGATACATGACCAAATACGAGCGTGCCAGAGTGCTGTGTGCGAGGGCTCTGCAGATCAGGTGAGAAAAAAGAACCAGGCAGGAATGGAAAGGGGGAAGAAGAACTCGGACAATTCGCGCAAGTCGACCAGATACATGACCAAATACGAGCACGCCAGAGTGCTTGCTGTGTGCAAGGGCCCTGCAGATCAGGTGAGGAAAGGCGTCGGGCAGGAGGCGGAAAAGGCACGTTGTCTGATGCATGACGACAGTGGACAAGACACCAACTGACGAAGTAGGAGCGAGCCATGGTGCGGGGTGCGGGGTGCGGTGTGCAGGGTGGAGGGTGGAGGGGAAAGGGGAAACGTGTCCTGATACCTGAGCAAGGACGGTGACTGCAGGACGGGGCTTCTGGTTTGGAATCTCTTGGGCAATTTGCTGTGTGCCGTTTCTTGTGCATTGGTCCTCGTCCCCCTCTCACAGTTCTACCCTCCCCCCCCCCCCCCCCCCGGGGTTCCTGCTCCCCTTGTCTCCAGCATGAACCTCCCGGTGATGATTTAGTGACCTTCACTAGTACTGCCGATGCAGGACACGTTATCCCTTCACCTCTCTCTCCCCCATGCCTCGTTCTTTTGCTCATTCCAGTATGAACGCGCCTGTGGTGGTGGAGCTGCATGGAGAGTCGAACCTGCATGAGTTATGCTGAATGCAGAAGTCCTTGTTCCCTCCTCCGCTGCCCCTTACACCCCGCCCACCTTCCCGCCCCATGTCCATTCCCCCTGCTCGTCCCAGCATGAACGCGCCTGTGATGGTGGAGCTGCATGGAGAGTGAATGCAGAAGTCCTTGTTCCCTCCTCCGTTGCCCCTTACCCCCTGCCCACCTCCCCCCCCCCCATGTCCATTCCCCCTGCACTTCCCAGTATGAACGCGCCTGTGATGGTGGAGCTGCATGGAGAGACGGACCCTCTAGAGGTATGCCACGTCGCTTGCTTGCAGCCACACAATGTACTTTGCTGCAACTGCACGGTTGCCCATTTTGAGCTCTTCCCCAGTCTATCCTCCCTCCTGCTGTACGGCACAATGTGCTTTTTGCTGTTTACTAGTTGAGTGTGATGAGTGTTTTGATGACGTCATGAGTGCCATGAATGCCATGAATGTGCTTCCAATCATGTCATAGAATCTCTTGTGGAGCTACAGCACGCCGTTCACTGCCTGCCGTGTCATGTCATGTCATGTCATGTCGCATGCTTGTGTGACATGTCTGCGTCAGTGTCCACTCTTTACCCATTTCGTCATCTCATATGTGCCGCACTGCTGCGCTTGTTCCGTGGCAGATTGCCATGCGTGAGCTACGGGAGAAGAAAATTCCTTTCACCATTCGGAGATACCTGCCTGATGGAAGGTGCGTGCAGACCTGCGCATTACGTTTTGTTTTGTTTGTTTGTTTGTTCGTGGAGTTCCGGATCAGCCATTTTCCAGATTATATTCTGAAACAACCGTCCCCATCCCCTCCCCTAACCCCCCCCCCCCCCCCCCCCCCCCTCTCTCTCCCCTCTCTTTTCTTTCTCCTTTCTGTACACAACTGCAGCTATGAGGACTGGGGTGTAGACGAGCTGATTATAGAAGACACGTGGCGGAGACAAGTGGGAGGTGGTAACTGAGCAGATATTTCTAAACAAAAGTGGTTCACTTACATACCGTAGTCTGCACACCAGTTTTTTTTATCTAGGCAGTTGGAGGTTGTACAGGTCTATGACACTAGCAAGTAAAGTGATTGTGGCGTTACGGTGGTAAGAGGAATTAGTACCGGTACTATGGGAGCATTTGTTTTATAGACTTGCACTATCGATGCTTTACCTCAGCTTGATGTACCGGTACGTAAGGGTGTCTACTAGTAGCTCTCGTATGGTAGTAGTCAAAACAACATTACGGTATGATGCGAGCATAAAAAAAAACAAGCAAAGTCAACTTGTCACTAGTACTGTACCATAACTGCCCGCTTCCTCCTGAACCAGATCCAGGCTCAGCTTCTCCTCAGCATCTCTCACTCCTGGATCCAGTCCCTGCAGACCTAACCAAGCCAAAATACACAAGCTTGAGTAAAGGTACGGTACAACCGGAACACAGAAAATTATTTACAGACTGCCTCTGGTATCTTGCCAAGGCCTCTCTGCATATCCCTAATGTCATTTGAGCACTGTTATGCCTATGATCACCTGGCATTACAAGGGCAGGAAGGACCATTCCATGACCACCTCTGTCAATTTGGCACTCCTGAGATTGTTCCACTGGTAACTGAGTGCCTGCTTCCTCCCAAGCCAGATCCAGGCCTCTTGATCAATTTCTCCTCAGCATCAGTCACTCCAGCCTCCAGCTCTGTCACTGCAAACCCCTTGGCCCTCAGATGTGTGGAGTGCCTCTGCTCCTTCTCGCCCCTCGCATCCATCAGGCTGGTGGCACCGCCTCCTGGGGTTGGAGCTGCTGACTCAGCTGCTTCACGTGTCAGGTCGTCAGTGGTGGCTGGAGAACGATCCTCGTTGGGAGTCATGTTGGGGTTCTTCGGGTGACCTGCAGGTACACAGGGCCGTAGACAAAGGGAAGGATTGCAATCCTGTGTCTATCGAAATTTCTATTTCATAAACGCAAGAGCAAACGAGGGGGGGCAAAAGTGACAGAAATTTAAAGAGAAGTGACTCCGCTTCCGTACCTGCTTCAGTAGTCTCCCCTATTCCAACACCAAACAATCGCCTCCCGGAGACTATCTGCGTGGAGAGGGAGCACACACTAAAAAATTTGCCAGTCATTAAGCAGTATGCCATGCGTGTCATCAAAAGCGTCGGATATAGAAAAAGCTCGGACTTCTCAAAGCCTACGGTCCACATTTAATAAACCACAAGCTGCAATTGTCGCATGGAGACTGAAACACAATGCTCCTAAGAAACAGCATATGCAGCATGAAAAGGTCTCGAATCAAACGCACCTGGCGGCTTGGCCGAAGAGTTAAGAACACGAGGCGATTTGCAGGCAGCATTTTCCCGTTTCACAGCAAATTGCTGTTGTATATATGATTAACGATAGAACGACTATGTTTCCAAGTCATACGCGCCCGGCTGAGATAAGAAGACCTGTCTTCCGAAGTAACGTCTGACTCTTGGCACGCCTAACTGAAACGAAGTTGTCACTTGAATATTCATGGACGATTTTCCACTAATTTCCGCCACCGTGATTCTTGGAACCGAGAGCGGAGCTTGAGGTCATTTCCAAAGTCTGCGTGCTGCATGCTTGCGTGGTTGAACAACGCAACTCCCAACTAGCCGCCATGGCGTGGCACTCACAACATGCATGTCTCTGACATGGCCTGGATCCGTGGATGTGTGTGGGTGTGTCAAGGGCAGCTTTACAAGAGAGCTGCGACAGCGACGCCGGGTTACTGATAATCGCATGCTTAACGAACTGAACCGTCAAACAAACGAGTGTTTTTCGCCCAAGGGATTGATGGAGTGCATGAAGCAGATTTCTGACAGCGCTCCTTTGTGGGAGCATCGCTTTTAGGCACTTCTGTTTACTGGAAATTCATTTCCAACAAATCCAGCAATCTACATTTTCGGTACGGCAAATGGCTTTTTTTTTTATTTGCCGAACCCAGTTTCCTGCATTCTTCGAACCACTGGTTTGCAGCCACATGTCAGCTTTTGACCAGTTGATTGACATCATCATGCCCAGACGGGAAAGTCGGACAGCTTGGCGTAGTGTAGCTTTGATAACTGGGTGCACTGTAGCTTACGACGTCATTTGCGACCACATACACTCGCCGCGCCGACCAGTCGCAACAACAACATCCCCCTCTCACTCAATTCCCGCTCATCTATTCGCATCGCCAATGTCGTCAAGTTCCAGTCGTCGTCGCCGAGGAGTTCCCTGTGGTCACCTGTCTGATTGACTCCACTTCAGGTCAAGTGTATCCTCCAAACTCATTCCAGTTTCACTCGTTCGTAGCGGTTAGATTCGGTTCATAAGCTTATTCTCTGGAACCTGAAAGCTACAAAGCATTTCAATACGGTCCTTAAATATGTCCTGCCAGATCGGGAACCTGCATTCTGTCAGATTCGCTTCCCTCCCATATGTGCTGCGGTGCTGTTGTTAGCCAGCAGAGCACAGCAGAGAGAAGATTCAGCTAGGGGAAGTCTGGGACTTAGCATACAAGCTCGGCTTGAGCTGGCAGCCCAGTCCTGCGTTTGTTTCTGTGTGCGTGTAGCTTCATCGCGCGGTTCTTGCGTGGCACTAACTTTTAATTTCGGTTTCTGCACGCCTCCAGTTACGGTAGTTGCAAGTTCGTGCTGATCTTGAATCGGCTCACAGCGACCATGGCTCGCCACGTATTGTTCTTATCTCTATCCTTCATGCTCGCGTGGTGTTTCCAAACTGCGTCGGCTCGATTCGTCGTCGAGTCGCACAGCCTCATGATCAATTCCCCAGACAAGATCCGCGGCGAGTATCTCAGCGCCATCGCGAATTTCGGCATCCCGCAGTACGGCGGCTCGCTGCAGGGCACAGTCGTGTACCCAGCGAAATCGAACGACATGTGCAAGCCGTACAAGGGGAACGACCTCGCGACCAAGGCCGGCGGCATGCCGAATATCGTCATCGTTGACCGCGGAGGTGCGATTGGTTTTTGGTATTTGACCTATTTGGGATTTTTTTTCTCCTCTGAATTCCGCTCTGCTGTGAGTAATTTACAGATTCGTTCATGGCTGTGATGCACATCGATTTGGGATTTCCTTATCTTTTTTTATCATGCTTCTCGATCCATGTTTTCCCTTCATATCGTTTCGAGAGTCATGCGTTGTACTTGTCTCTCATCACATTCTTCTCGAATTCAGGCTCTACTTTATCTGTTAGGTGTTACAATGTTGAAATAGCTGGAACGTCCACCTTTATGGATGCGAACGACGAGGACGAAAATTCCCTCACCATATGACACTCCCGAGGACCTTTAGGACGAATATTCGTTCTTTACGTGTCGCTCACGTTACCGTATCCCTAAAAAATATGTACCGACATCAGGTTGCTACCATACAATAAGGAGGTGTGTATGGCGAATTTCCATTGCTTACGTGTCCCCCACGTCACCCTATCCCTCAACGCATGCCGCGACACCAGGCCGCTACTTCACTGCAAGGTCCTTAGCGCGCAGGATTCCTGCCGGCGCGTCCGCCGCGATCGTCGCGGACGACAAGGATGAGAACCTCCTCACCTTGGACACTCGCGAGGCCGTTCAACGGTAATATAGTATCCCTAGTTGCCTCTCACGTAGTATCCTACGCTATATGTCCCTCCTGTCACACTATGCCCCAAATCCAGGTTGCTATTTCACGGACAAGGTGTTCAACGCGCAGGAGGCGGGCGCGTCCGCCGTGATCGTTGCGGACGACAAGGACGAGAATCTCCTCACCATGGATACTCCCGAGGACGATCCCGACGCCGCGCGCATGGTCGACAAGATCACAATCCCGTCGGCGCTGGTCCAGAAATCAACGGCGGATGTGATAAAAAAGGGGCTCAAGAGCGGGCCCGTGATGGTTTCGTTGGATTGGCGGGAAGCGCTGCCGCATCCGGACGAGCGCGTGGAGTATGAATTCTGGACCAACAGCAACGACGAGTGCGGGCCTAAATGCGACTCCCAGGCGGAGTTTCTGGACGCGTTTAAGGGCTACGCGGTAATGTTAGAGCAGGGCGGGTACACGCTGTTCACGCCGCATTACATCACCTGGTACTGCCCGGAGGCGTATCTGGAAAGCCGGCAGTGCAAGACGCAGTGTATTAACTCCGGGAGGTACTGCGCGCCGGATCCCGAGGAGGATTTCGACGTGGGGTATGACGGGAAGGACGTGGTGGCGGAGAATCTGCGGCAGCTGTGCGTGCACCGCGTGGCGAACGAGACGCACGGGTCGTGGCTGTGGTGGGACTATGTGACGGACTTCAAGAAGCGCTGCCGCATGGCGGATAAGTCGTACGGGCCGGAGTGCGCCGAGAGCATCATCACTGCTCTGGGTACGTACTCTGTATAAGGGAGGGTAGGGTAGGTGCGACAAGAAGCGCTGCCGCATGGCGGACAAGACGTACGGGCCGGAGTGCGCGGAGAGCATCATTACCGCTCTGGGTACGTGTCTGGGGGGTGCGTGGGTCTGGGGATGCGTGATTCTGGGGTATACACACAAAAAGCGTGGTCTGGGGCATACACAGAAGAAGCGTGGGTGTGTCTCTGTGGGGTCGTGGCTGTGGTGGGACTACGTGACGGACTTCAAGAAGCGCTGCCGCATGGCGGACAAGTCGTACGGGCCGGAGTGCGCGGAGAGCATCATCACTGCTCTGGGTATGTGCCTGTGGGTGCGTGTGTCCGGGGATGCGTGGTATGGGGATGCGTGGTATGGGGATGCGTGGTATGGGGATGCGTGGTATGGGGATGCGTGGTATGGGGATGCGTGGTATGGGGATGCGTGGTATGGGGATGCGTGGTATGGGGATGCGTGGTATGGGGATGCGTGGTATGGGGATGCGTGGTATGGGGATGCGTGGTATGGGGATGCGTGGTATGGGGATGCGTGGTATGGGGATGCGTGGTATGGGGATGCGTGGTATGGGGATGCGTGGTATGGGGATG